TGAGCCCACATCACCTGGAGCCTGCTCTTATGGACAAGATGCTCTTCTGCCATTCAGAATACTACACCACAACCAAAAGGGCAGCATCACAGCCTACATGTGGGATTAAATCATTTTTAGAGTAGAATGGGGAATGGTGATGCCACTCACTCCCAATGACAGCTTCTTGATGGAGTAATTGTCATAATGAATGCTAGATAAATGTGCTCTCATCAAAAGATGACCTATTTTTTTGCCTTCTCATTCTCCATAAAGGATAGCTACATCTTTCATTCCACAGTGCCTGCTGCAGGTTTCGGTTATGGGGTAATATGGTGTGAATGTGCTAGCCTTCCACTTGCTACATGGCACCTTCAATCTTTGACAGGGTGGCAAGGAATTTGAAAGCTGCTTCTTTTGATAGACCATAGCTTGTCAGGTTCTCTGGACTTGCCAAACCATGGCTAATGCCAATAACAGTTAGCTTCAGATATGCCAAGTGAAGAATAACGCTTATGATCCTGGCTGGTTTAAACTAACCAAAGTTAAGATTAACTAGTCTTGGGTTTATATGCCATCGTAAGACTTGGCTAGTTAAAATGCAGCTGTGAATGCTTCAGAACTAATTCAAGATGTGTGAGAGGAGTACCTGTTTTAGAGTGTGCTGGGCTCATTGACATCTGGGCTTCTTACATGAGTGCAATAGCTAAATGTAGCAAGTGTATGATGCAGTCATACTGGATTTAAGGCAACCTATGAGCCTTCGTCTGCTTGTTTTGGAATCCATGGATGGGAGATTTTTGTTCTCACCTTGCATCCTGTACAATGGGGGGGGGCAGGGATCACATGGATTTTCTTTGCCCTATATGGGGGAGGGCTACCTCTGTTACGTGTCCAGCCCACTCACGTCACCCTAACTCCTTTGAAAACAGCCATGTCTACTTTCTTCTGGAAGCAGCTGTTTTTGTCTCTTAAGGAACAGCAGCTGCTCTGAGAATCAGGAAGGCATGGCTCTTAACTATCTTTGAGGGAGCACGTCTCCCTCTCCCCCAAGCAGTTTCCCCACCTCTTTACATGTTGTGGCATTGGCAGGATGAAGAGAGATGTCTCCCCTGGTCTGTCAGCACACTGGTTTTAGGGAGAGTCTCGGTGTGGTACAGTGTAAGGTTTGGAAACTCCCTTATCATAATCCTGGCTCCGCCGCGGATTTGCTCTGCCACTCAAGGCATCTTAACCTGCACTTTAACCTGTCTTCCTTTAAGACCTGGGAAGAAGTTGCTAGAGAGCGAGTGAAACAGTAAGATCCAGTACTGAAATGTCAAAACTAGGGATGAGAAATGTATTGACTGGCTTTATGCCTCTCAGTGTCTATTAGGAGCAGAACTATCTCACAAGCCTGTTTATGAGGCTGAAATGTGATTCTGAGCTCTGCGGATGAAAAGCTGTACACAAGTATGGCATAGAAACACAATTCAATGTGAATATTGTGTCATGTGGAATTGTGCTGGAAACTTTAATTTACTTTCTGATCATAGATCCCACAAAGTATGAACCAGTGAAGATTCTCTTAAGCTAGTAAATGGTATCCCTTAATCTAAAAATGAAAGCTGGGCTCCTGTAATGTTTAAAGCAGTTCTGTGAAGACTGTGGATTCATTCCTTGACTCCAGCAAGTGCTGTCTGGGGAGCGTGGAGGCAAAAGGCTGTTCCTCTGTTCTGCTCTTCATGCTGCTTCAGAGTATTACTGGATTCACTCAGCAGTGCTATTTAAAAGAACATTTAAATGCAGATGGCTTCAGGCAACCCTCAAGATGGCAGCATGTGCAGACAGTATGGCACCAATCCTACAGGGAGTTCTGCACAGAGAAAACTTCCAACAGAGCATTTTAGGATTGGAGCCTAGACTATGAATAAAGAGAGTTCAAGCAATTAAAAGGGATATGCACACACAGACAAGCTCCAGTTGCAAAAGTGAGCTCTTTAAAAAAAATCTGTCCATCAAGCTGGTTGGAAAAGAGACCTGACACCTTCCCTGCTTGTTGCTTTTATTCTCTAGTTCTTCTGCCTAAGATGGGTTTTTTATTCTCCCTTCCACCCCACTCTGAATTCCAATGCTGCAAAAAATAGTCAGCTTTTTTTCACTGATTCATTTTCTGTAGCTTTGAATCAGAATCCTGCTTCTACTCAGTTCTGCTTGCGAATGGACAGAGACCGTTTGCAAGAGAGATGAAAATGTTCTTTGAAACCCAGAGTTCAGAAGGCTCATGGCCATGACACAGGCTGAAGATATTCACACAAAGAGCACCTCAGCTCAGGAAGGAAAAATGGCACCACCCTCAGCAGCACAGCTGTCTTTACTGTGGACCACAGTTCTTATAAGAGTTGCAGTGAACAAAGAGGCTTCATGGCCAACGAAAACATGCTATTGAATGTACAAGAGCAACCAATCACTATCACAGAAACAAAACAGCAACTGAGAGAGTAACAGAAAGGCAAAATCATCAACTGAGATGTCACAACAGATGCTTCGTAGTACATCTATGACAGCAAAGTCAACTTCCACATGTTGTGTGATTTCATTTTACTTATAAAAACCAATAGAAAGGGCAATATTTTTTATTCGCATAGATTTCCTTTCTTTTACAAGGGCAGAGATTAGTCTTCTACATCTGTGATAGTACCTCTTGGAAGACTGGCTAAATCTTTGACCTCATGAGATGGAGGAGCTTTTGAATGTTCCCAAACCAGAACTGGCAGAATAATAATAAAAAACTCTTCCCCATCCTGAACAAACTTGGAATGAGGACTCTAACCCCAACTAAGGAAGACTAACACAGAAATACCGGAACATCTGGAAGCAGGGCCATCCCTGTGTGGTTTCTTCATATCTAGATGGATGCATCTAACCCAAATACTGCATTCTAGGATGGTCAAACACCCTCTCTGCTTTTTGGAGAACTGTCACTGGACTTTTACTTTTTCTCACACACAACACAGAATCAGTGCTATGTACAGAACCGTCTATGCAAGGGCAGCATTTACTGAATCCAAAGGGTTCATTACGTAATTTCTGGTAAGTACGTAGCTGGATCAATGGGCACATTGTAACTCTGCATTTCGCAGATATTAATGCTGATAGGTATTCCTCTCATGGAGTGAACAGTAAATCTTGATGCCATAATTTTGCCCACAGCCTTCAAAATGTAATGCATCACATATGTCATCTAGCTGAATTATACCCAAATATTTCCTTCGCCACATAAGAGAAGGTGTGAAGCATATTCCTTCCTAGGTCTGCCTTTTCCAGATAGCTTTTCTAAAAGCTTGTCTGAGGTTAAACCTTCTCGATGGTGGCCAGGATGGGGCAAAACAAAGGGAGGATAAAAGCAAGGGTGGGTCTTCATTGCTCCATAAGATATATAAATTCTAGTGAGATTTTCTGAGCAGAAATTACAGCCACCAAACAACTGTCTTTAAAGAAGCATCCAGGGAATGGGTCTCATGTTTGCTAATTCAGCCTTGGAATCAGTAACCCAGGAGATGGTGGTGACAGAGCGACTGTTTCTTAGCTGCACTATGGGATGAGGCAACAAACAGATGGAGTACTTGCATTGTTCGAACGGCTGCAGATGAAACTTTTGGATTTCCTGTGTTTGTAGAATTGTGTTTCGTAGGGTCTTAACCATATCTTCTCATCCAGTTTCTCAGTTTTAACTGCTTCAAATAAGAACCCAACTCACAAAACTGGAACTAACTGCTCAGGCATCTAAGTTCCACACCATCTGTTGGAAGACTTTTTTCAGCCTGATTGTTATGAGGGAGATTGCTGGATTTATCTAGGGCTGCTGCAGTGAGATCTTATGTCCAAAAGCAAAACAGGTCATCAAAGCAGAGGCCTATTCTATGCTGGAGGGGAGACCATCGATGCAAATTCCATGTATACTGCCTTGTGGTTCCATGAAGTACTGATAAAACATAAGTGAAGAGAGCTTCTTCTATGGCACCTCATTGTTTGAGGAACAGCTTCTTGGCAGATTTTTGGGACACTGATTACCTACAACGAGATACGGGCAGAAACTGAATGACGAACCAGGAAAACCAACAAATCAGGCCAGTTCATAGTTCGGTTCACGATCCAATTCGGGGGTCCAGTTTTGCTGAAGTAAAACGAAGCACCAAACTCTGCCCCCCTGTGCTTGATTTTGCTTTGCCAAAATGGATGCCCGGCTATCCCTCCCCACTGCCTCCACTGCCAGCAATCCTCTGGAAGATGGAAAAAGGCACTCACTGCTCCCTCACATTGACCAGGTGTGTGAAAGAAAGTGCAGGTGAAGGGCTTCCTAAGAGAGGGGGACCCTAAAGTGGTTTCCTAACATTTATTTTTGCCATTTGCAAAGAGGTAGTAGCTATATTTAGGGTGTCCCAGCATGTTTGTCAACATTAAAAGGGGGAAAAATAAGAGAGGGAAAAGATTTGTTTCTGTGTATCAAAATTCACTTTCTCAGATTTTGATCCATGACGGCTCACACAGAAACTAATCTTTAAGGTGCCCATTTTGTTCTTTGACTAACCCCCCCCACCCCAATTTTGTGAACAATTTTTTCACCATATTTCTTTCCAAAGGCATGTCTGGGTGAAAGGAAGGGAAAGGCATAGGAACTTAGCTAATGAAAGTAAAATAATGAGGTCTTAAACCAGAGGTGAGCAAACGATGGGCCACATGTGGTCCCCATTCATTTTTATGTGCTCTCCCTGGGAGGGGGGGTGCGGGGGAGAAAGGAAGATAGAAAATCTGTGACAATGCAATAAAACTAAAAAGCTACCGTGTTTCCCTGAAAATAAGACAGGGTCATATTAATTTTTGCTCCAAAAACGCATTAAGGGCTTATTTTCAGGGGATTTTATTTTTTTCATGGACAACAATCTGCATTTATTCAAATACAGTCATGTCATCTTCTTCTGGTTGCTGCACAAGGGTGGAGGGTGGGGTTTCACTTAACTAGGGTTTATTTGGGGGTAGGGCTTATATGACGAGCATCCTGAAAAATCCTACTAGGGCTTATTTTCAGATTAGGCCTTATTTTCAGGGAAACAGAATAGCTTTGGTCAGAGCTTTCTGTTTTCAGCCTTGTAAGAAGTTTAAAGTAAAAGCAAGTTTAAATAATGTTTATATTTTTTTAAAAATAATTGGAATGAATGTTTTTACACAAGTCTGACTGGTTTTGGGGTGGGAGGTTTAAATAATATACATAATCTTAATGAAATAAAATTATTCTTTAATATTAATTGCTATTTATTTATATCTGAGTTGATTTAGGGGGAATGTTGAAACAACAGAAGATAGCACTCTAAAACATTCAGCAATGCTATTAGCAGCTCCAATAGATGTAATAATAATAATAATTTATCTTTACATATCATAACTATTTCTATCTAGCTTCTGTTTTTTTCCACTACTGTAGGTCCTGCCATTTATCTTTAGGCCCTGGTTGCTTTGGGTATGAGGCCCCCAGTCACTCTCTGAAAACAATTAATAATAATACCAGAGCTATCAGTAACTGTAACCACGAACTTGTTGGGAGCATCTTAGCTATTTTTATCTATTTCACCTTATCTATTTTGCTATTGATTTTCTAATTCCCACTCCTCCTCTTTAGGCATTATTCTCTTTTAGGTGTGGAGCCCTCAACTGCCTGGTCAACCACTTCCCACCCCTTTCTTAAAGGAATACAGAGCTCTTTAGAGTCCCCCCCCCCAAAAAAAGCCAACTTCTGCCCTCAAAATACAGTAACTATGCAATGGAAGAAGTTGTTTTCCTGGTGAGATCAAAGGTTGATTTAGTCGTTCTACCAAGAGGATGCTTCATCCCAGATATCAAGACTGGCCTCTGTGCTCCTTAGAGGGAAAGGACTTCAGATTCTCAGACTTTTTTGCAACATTACAAATTGTGATTATTTAAAGGATATTTTTTTAAAAATGGGAAAAAAAGTTTGATCTTAGAACAATGTGCTTTTCTTCATTTCTCCAGGTACAGTGAAACAAAAAACATTAACAGGACGTTTAGTCTTGGTGAACTTCCTGAGCCTCTCTCTCTCTCTCTCTCTCTCTCTCGGCCCTGACTCTGGGACCATTCCAGCCAGAATCAAGGTGGTTTTTCTTTCAATCACCTATCCCCTCCCCCTCCCTCCTTCAATATTCAGAATGAAAAAATATAATTATGTATTGCTTCTTGATCCCTAACCAGCTCTTCTCCCTTGCTGAAAATAACTTTAAAAATTTAATTCTGTATCCTTAAGGCTCCAGGACTACATCCTTATTTCTTGGAATCATAACAACCATATCTCAAAGTCTCTTTGGTTAAAATAAAACACACACACACACACACACACACACACACACACACACATACAGAAAGGTAACACACTGCTCAATAGGTTCCTATATTGGTCTGTGGTGTTTGGCGCAAAAGGGTCTTTTCAAGAAGGAAGCATTGATGACGAGCTGTCTGCTCACTGGAAGCTGGATGTTCTTCTCTCCTTCCTGCTGTGCCTTCTTTTTCATACCGTTGTGGCTGCCCCATATTGAAACAAGAGGGGGGAGGTCTCTTTGATCCGAACACAAAACCTCCCCTCAGGCCAAGCCTTTTGAAGTGTGAGGGGCAGGAAGTCGTTTGGAAGCCACTGCTCCACATCATCTAATATGAACACGAGTCCAAAGTGGTCCAATTGTTCTTCGCTGTAGCAAAAAGCACCTGTGTTTCCGAGGACATCACGTGAAACCTCGTTCATCTCCTGCACTACAAGCTTCACCACATCCTCTGCCGACATCTTGTTGGTTATGTGCAGCTGCGCAGAAACAGAGGTAAGTCAGTCAATGAAGGTGCACTCAAATAAGCTGAACGTTCTGGAGAATAAGCTCCACTATGGAGAAATCCCCTCTCCCATCTCAAGTTGCAAAGGAATGCCCAACAAATTATGTGCTCTTTCAGGAATAACATCTGAGAGCACTATACTCCTGCCTGATGCAATCTGAAGATTGAGTTTGAGTTCAACATATTGCTATCCCCAGGACTCCTAAGTGAACAGGCAAGGGACTTGACAGTACCAAAAGGAGCAGAACATGGAAGATGTTCTGTCAATATGTCAAAAGATACTTTGGGGCAATGTATCATGAGTAGAAAATATTGGGGTGTGATGACCTGAAAGACATCTTGGACGATTACAGGAAATCCAGGCAGTAGTTCATCTTTTGGTACCTTTCACCCAACAAGAAGGAATAGAGGTACCAACCAAACAGAAGATACTGTGTTCAAAGACCTACAGGACAGCCGTTCTCACCAGAATGCAATCAAGTGGAAAGTCGGGCTTGACTTTCTTAGCTATACAGTACTGTATGTGTCAGTTACAAATGATAAGGGAGACGTGACTGCAATCCATTTGGGCTCCGAGGGAAAATCCCCCTAAAAAGATTCTCACTTTCTTATTCCCTGCAAAAGGAGTAGGAAGCATGAAGCCACAATGAAGGCCAGTGCTACTGTCACATATGACCATGGGCTAGGGAGAGGAAGATGCCTCCCTTTCTTCAGAACATATAAGACACCCTCACGCTGTTCTCTAAGCAGTCTCTGTTCACTGATATATTTAGAAGCTTTCCTGCTATTCTTTTTACCACTCTTTAAGAAGGACACTGATGAACTGGAACAAATTCAGAGGAGGGCAACAAGGAGAATCAGAGGACTGAAAACCAAGGCCTGTGAGGAAAGACTGAAAGAACTTGGCACATTTAGCCTTGAGAAAAGAAAACTGAGGGGAGATAGGATAGCACTTTTCAAATACCTGAAAGACTGTCATACGGGCAGGGTCTTTTCTTGATTATCTCAGAGTGCAGGGCATGTAGTAATAGGCTCAAGTTACAGGAAGCCAGCTTTAGGCTGAATATCAGAAAAAAAACGTCCTGACACTTAGTACAGTATGACAATGGAAACAATGACCTCGAGAGGTGGTGAACACTCCAATGCTAGAGACATTCAAGAGAAAATTAGACAACAATCTGTCAGATATATCTTGATTTGGATTCCTGCCTTGAGCAGGGGGGTTGGACTTGATGGCCTTATCGCCCCCTTCCAAGTCCATTATTCTATGATTCTTTTATTCTTTTGGTGCTGCTTCTGGCAGTGGGACTGCCAGGAAACCATAAGCTCTATGAGAGTGCAGAGGCAGAACAAGGAATGATACCTTGACATTTGTTTCTTTGGAGAGCCCCGTTTCATACTGAGGGCACACATGTAAGGTGAAGGAGCCTGATGACTTCCCCTGGTTTGCTACACGTGGTGGCTCAGGTGGCTCCTGGAAGGTGTGAGTCCATTCCATTGAGCGTGTCCGAAAGACAGGTTCAGAGTTTTCTGCAAGCCAGCCGTGCTTGGGGCTGAATGCTGACCCTATCCCAAATCTCAAAGGGCTGCAACGTCCCGCAGTTCTGCTTTCTGTTGGAGAGCTGTCAACTGAGCCAGGGCAAGACTTTCTGGCCCCATGACAGAGCGGTTTGGGGAAATCCAGGCTACTGGTGCGAACACAGTAGGCCTGCCGCTTCTCTGTAATACGCAGCAGTTCGATTTGTCGACTAGGAAGCACAAAGTCACTATCATAGAGTTCAGGGGGAGGCTGGGGCTCCTCTAGAGGAACTGGGGCCCTCTTCAGCTCATGGCTCTGCAGAACATTAGGGACGCTGTCCCTCAAAGGACAGGAACTTTTTCTACTGCAGCATTTTGGCCCAGAAGAAGAGGAAATGAGGTCAGGCTCTTGGGGGCTTTGGGCTCTGCTGGAATCATAGTCGCTGTCTGTAGCCAAGAATACTTCTAATGAGCCCTCTTCATCAGAGATTCCATGCGAATCTGGAAAAAGAAGAAGAAAAGATTACAACTTGCTTGTTACCAAGAGCGGCTGAATGTCATTTTATGTGCCTCTCAGATTTTTAGGACTTTGAAAATCTCCACTTTGTGCAGAGGGGCAAAGCAGAAGCTGAGGCAGTTCAACTGAATCTTCCTTCGGCATCTTTTAATGCAAAGTGTGTGAAACGTCTAGAATATGCAAATGCCTCACTCTCTACCAAAGGTTCCTAAAGTGACTAAGCTATATATTATCTGGTTTTAGGCTCCTGGTGAGGAAACATTGGTATCTAAGATATTCCACACTTACTAGATATATTAGGAAACAGGGGTGCCCCTCATATTCGTGCCTTGCTGTTTGTCTGTTGCTTCTTTCTCATACGAGTACTTTCTTTCGTAAAACATCCTCACTTTGAGTTCCAAAATCTTGACATGTATCACTCAAACACATATGCAAAGTTAAAAAGATACACACATGCCACAGTTCTACCACTGAACTTGAAAGCCAACCGAACTACTCGCTTAGAGCAACCCTACAGGGATTTCAAGGTAAATGAATTGTTTAAGGAATGGTTTTACCAGTTTCCTTGGCAAAGCGAAGGAAACGAGCCCAGGTCTCCCGAGTCCTATTCCATTACTATATGCACTGCACCACACTAGGTACCTGAAATGCATAGTAGGCATATCCAAAAGCCACATGTATCCATCATCATCAGCAATACAAACAACATAATGAAGAGCGAAGAATGTATGGCTGTAGGCAGGACCGAGGTGATTGCCTTGGTGCAGCAATGGCTGCGTTTATCCTCCCCAGGTGGAAGAAAAAGAAGCTGCTGCTCTCAGGTATGCCACATCCCAGCAACCTCTTGATTGGCTAGCCTGCACCCTATCAGGCCAGAGGCCCTGCTCCATGCATGGGTCCCTGGGAAGAAGCATGTCACAAAATGGCGGCTGATGTGCTCCAGAGCTCTTCTCCTGCCCCTTGCAAAATGTAAGTCCCTGGACCCGTGCTTCTCAGACTGATTTGAATCGTGTAACCTTGTCCCAGCAAAGTACGCCCAATGACACTACCAGCTGTGCACCACATGTCCCCATCTTGTGAACTGCCCTATATAACCAACAAAAGGCAAATAGCACATTGCTGTACTTGCCTGGGATGAGGAGAGGACAACAGGAAAATAATTTCCTGTTTCTGAACAGCCCCTTGTTTGTACCAAATGTGATGCCTAGAGTGGTCTTGCAGAGCAACTTCCCCTAGCAAAATATATTCAATACAATACTGGGGTGGAGGAACAAACCATAACAGAATCTGTGTGGTTGACGGGCAGATAAAGTGATGGAATAATTTTCCAGAACTGATTGCACATACAGCTACTAGATGTGCTTCTCGGTATCATTTCTAGGAGCAGAAAGCTGGACGAGGGCAAGGGACTGATTAGCAGCCCCTGAAGCTGCTGCAGAAAAACTTCAGGAGAACTCTCACCGGAGTTGAACTTGCGGCTTGCTTCGGGAGACGGGGTAGGTGAAGGAAGAAAATCCAAATGGGAAGAGGCTGGCAGAGCTTCCCCCTTCGGTGCAGCACTGGACTCTTCAATGAAGAATGTGAGTGAAATGCCACAAGATGGCTGCTTGTATCGGGCGTGCTGCAGCGCATCCATCAGCCAACGCATTTCCTTCCATATCTCCTCCATTTGCTGTCCCAAGGCAAAGACACAGAATCAGGTTACCTGTTTTTCTTGGTGCAGAAAAAGTGGCTTTAAATGAGTGGCAGAACAGCACAGATGAGGCACACATGAGAAGGGCTACGCAGGGATTGTTCATGCATACAACCTGTTCTCACATATGCACTGAATTTATAGGGGACATGGTACTCTTTGGACACATGGGGGTGTCTGATAGCCCTCATTATGATTGGTTATTCTTCTCTGCAGCTCATGAGGTTAGTCTGCTGTACCATCAATCCAGAAGGTAATGATTCATTTACTGATTGCATGTCAATTGGAGGTTTTTCCTAGAATGTCTTTGTTTTTCCAGTAAAGAATCAAAGGATTCTCTTATAGTGTCCTGTGATTTGTTTGTTGTCCTTAGTTTCCAAACTGTCAGGTAGGTAATATCAATCCAGGAGGTAGATTTGAGCAGGGCAAGGACATGTGCAAGATGCCTGCCTGGTCAGAACCATCAGATGTAATATTTGCATTCTGCCACTGGGAGGCTGGATCGTTGCCCAGAGTTCCTGAACATCTTGGGGTGGAGGCGGAGGTGGTGATGGTAGTGGTGGGGAGGGTCTTTGCTCTGAGTATGAACAAATCTCAGTGCAAGAGCAGCAAGGTTGATCGGTAGCCAGAAAGCACACTGGCACTACATGTTCACTGTTTCTGTATTTCTGGCCAGGCAGGAGGCAGAACTAGGTGTTGTAAAATGTCACCTCCTGTGTGGAAAAAGCATTCTGTGGCATGACAGTAGGCCACATGAATGATGTGGTACCTGGGCTAACAAGGACAGGTTGCTTACCTGTCACTGTAATTCTTTGAGTGGTCATCTATGATTTCACACATATAGGTTGTTTCTGCATCTGTGCAAAACTCCTTTGGAATATTCCAGAGTTTAAAAGTCCATTAGAAGAAGTCCCTGCAGTAGGTGTGCTCCACCCACTCTATGGTGAATCCTCAGTTCCCTGATGCTGCTGTAAATAAACATAATATGACATGGCAGACTGAAGGGAGAATGGGCGGGTTGTGTGATTTCACAGATGGCCACTGGAAGAACTACAGGTACAGGTAAGCAGCTGCCCTTCTTTATTGTGGTCTCTGTGAATCACATAGATGGGTGAACTGCAAGCTCACTTACTGAATGGTGGGATGTCACAGCATGATAGACAAGATCGCCACTTTGCCGAAAGTAGCATCAAGTTTGGCTCTGACATCGAGTCTATAATGTTTGATAAATGTCGAAGGTTGTGAAAATGTAGCTGCTCTACAGATGTTGGTTAGCTGAACATCCTTCAGAAAGATGGTGAATGTATCAATTGCTCTTGTCAAGTGCACTCTCAAAGAGTTTGGGAGTAGCTAATTGGCCAGTTGGCATGCCAGTATAATAGTGTTGACAATCCATTTCAAAATATGTTGAGAAATGCCCTGTTCACCTTTTTAAGGACCCTGATAGCCGAAAACAAGCAATCTGACTTTTAAAAATGCTTGGTTCTGGAAGTATAGAACACAGGGGGCCTCCTAAGATCCAATGTATGAAGAGACCCCTCTTGCATTTGCATGCTTTCGAACTGCTAGGTTGGCGGGAGCCGGGACAAGTGATGGGGGCTCACTCTGTCATGTGGATTCGATCTTACGACTGCAGGTCTTCTAGACCTCTAGACCAGACGTTGCAGCACAGAGGCTTCAGCGGTTTAACCCGCAGCACCATTTTTTAATGTTTAGGTTTCAGAGCAAATGTGGTTGATTTTTGATGCAGATGTGTGCAGTTTTGGTGAGGGTGCGGATCTTTATATTGGGGCTCTGTCCCTGGCATCGAGAGGTATTGGTTGCACCCACTGTATGTCCTGTGAAGGTGGTTCACCGTTTGATTTTTGAGAAGCTATGTCTAACTGAAGATCCTCCATAGGTAATGGCTGTTTTGAAGGTGTCTTAGAAGTTGTTGATTCTTTAGTCATTGAATCAATGGCCTGCAATGATTTTCCCCACGGGTAATATTTGAGGCAGGATTAATGATTTTTGGCCACTTTAATAAAGTTTTTACAAAACTGGCAGGATTTTGTTTGGGGTCCCTTGCTCAGATAATAGAAGCACTTGAGTGTCCCTTTGAGAGAGGGATTTTATTAGCACAAATGTTGCACCCGTTGAATGGGTCTGTAAATAGGTGAGAAGGCCCCAGGCCTCTCTCTCTTTTCTTAAGGAACACTCATGAGGAAAGACAAAGGGAATAACGAGGAACAAAAAGATGGCAGGCAAGGAGAAAGAAGAGGGGCAAAAAGGTACAATTTGTTTTTCTTTTTTTTCTGTTGGGAGAAGAAAGGCTCCAGTAGAATCCAATGGTGGCGAAAAGAAACAAAAGGCTCATCACAGGGTGGGAGGAGCAAGGATGGTGCTGGGACTTGATCTCATGGACTTTTGGGCTCTGGAATATTCTGAAGGAGCTTCATGCAGGCTCAGAAAAAACCCATATGTGTGATTCCCAAAGACCACGATGAAGAACAAGAAGGGAATGGAATCAGGAATACTCCCCGAAGCGGAACGGCATCGGTGCTGCAGGACGGATCTGCAGAGCCAGTGCCTTTGAAAAAGAACAAGAACCAAGCCCACAATGGAAGCCTGATGGGGGGCCGCCTGAGACATAGCTGTGCCCTCAAAGATCATGCTGCAGCATTCTGGGCCGCCTGTAAAGAGGAAACTCTGGGCCACTTATGCAAGGTTGCAGAGGGAGGGTGTCCTGTCCCAGCACTCTGCACCCAGGATGTCCTACACCGTACCTGCATATGGTCCTGAATCTGGTGGTGTCTCTGCTTGGCGGTCGTGAGTTCCAAGTCCGAGAAGGCCTCCCGAAGGCTCTGCTGCGACAGCAGAGACTCGAGCTCCAAGAGGGCAGACACTTGGCAATACTGGCGAATGAACTCCTGGTCATATGTGGAAAAATGAACTAGAAAACAAAGAGAGAAGCCTTGGAGTCAAGGATCACCGATGGTGTGACACATCACAGGACCACAGCTCTGCACGGTGAGGAGAACTAGAGCTCTATCGGTGGGAAAGAGGACCGCTGCCGATGTGGCCAACCCATGACCCCATCAGTGGGCCCTTTCCCATTCCTAGTGGAGCTCCCTGGCAAGAAAAGTGCTTGCTAGTAATAGCACAGTTTCACTGATCCGGACTCGCAAGCGCTGTTCAACACGCCAGGCCCACCACCGATGTCTCCGCAATGCATGATCAGTGAAATGCGCGCATTAATGTGTTCTGAGAATGAGATTCCTCAGGGTCCTCCTACAAATCCCCCCAAAAATGTGAAACTGAGCTAATCTTAAAAATTTGGCTGCACGCCGTGCTGCACTGAATGTTCCCCATAAGGAGAAGGATGGCAGAGGGAATCTTAGATTTGTTCATGGACGCAAAGGGAATGGATTTGAGACCAAACTAAGGATGTAATGAATACTGACAATTTTTCTCCTCTTTGATGAAAAACACTTTCATGACATGTTAGGACACATCATTGAAAAATGTTGCTTTCAACGGATGCAAGTTTTTTTTGCTTCTCCATGAGCGCAAAAAGACTAGTTTTTTTTACTGACAAGAGCAGCATTAGCAAATACCTCTCTCACACACCCCTTTTGGTAGAAAACATTAAAGTTTTGCATTCAAAACCTTGCATTTTGTGCAAATGCAAGGTTTTTATGAGGGGAAAATTCTTCCTTTTTTTGCCAAAAAGAAAGCTTTCATAATCTCCCCACCCCCACGGGAAAAACTGCTTGTAGCTTCATTCTCAACTGCAAGGACCCAAAAGCAAAACAAAACAAAACCCAAAACAAGAACACCCAACCAAGGAAAACCAAGAAACCAAATGATTGGGGAGTAACGGTTGTAGAAGACTGTGACTCACCAGCATGGAGTATATTCTGAATGTATTCCACTGAATCCTATACTGCTGGTACGTGAACACAAATTTAATGGTTTTAGAGGCCACAATTGCCTGTTATCTTTGTCATGACCATATACAGCCACAGAGAATTTTGGATATGCAGCTATCTTTTCTTCCTGATTTTGCTTCTGGAAAAACTAGCCCTTCCTTATCTTGTTCTTTTCTTCCAAGCCGAGTTTAGGCTTTAGCAGTTCTCTCTCTCTCTCTCTCTCTCTCTCTCTCTCCCGCCAGGCCATTTCTGACCTCTGCTTCCTGCTTTCCCTCTTCCTGCATTGCCAATCTCACTTCCTAGAAATGGGCGGAAGAGTCTTGCCACGGGCCATGCTGGCTGTGGGGTTTTGGGAGCCGTTGTCAAAATCAGGTAGGTCCCCAAGGTCTGGTCTAGAGGCCTCAGAGGGTGCAACCGTTCTCACCTAGCTCAAATATCTGAAGAGGGAGTGTGAGAAAGCCAGATTGAGGAGAGTAAGGGTCGTTCTGGCCGGGGGCCGTGCACACATCATCAGAGGGAGGCAGAAGCAGAAGAAATGAGACTTGTCCTCCGAAGTCCAGAACTTCCTGACTGTACAGACGGAAATTTTTGGCCTGGAGAATTCAAACATGAGAAAACAATGTTTTATTGCTACAGTGTCACCACTTATGGCACCTTAGCCTAAAACTGCATTTGTCTTACTAATCAGCTGAAACTGTATTGCTGATTTTTTAAAGTACTCTTTTTCCTATGCAGAGAAACAGAGCATTGATTTTCTAACTAAAATTGGGATACATAGACACCGTATATAGTGGGGAAAGGCACTTCCAATGCACAGTATTCTTCTAGCTCATGTCCCCTAGATAAGTTGCAAAGGTCTCTAGGTCCTCCAGTTATTATCATGTATTGCATTCTTCCAGACAATTTAGTTCACATATATTTCCATTTAATTCCCACTCAAATAAATCTTACCAAAGTTACGTTATGATAGGAACTTGAAGGAAAATGATTTGCCTGAATCCATCCTTTTTTCAGCCCTTCATACTGATGGTGCATGGAAATGGGACATTTTAGAGACCTCTCTTTATACAGAAACCCATGTCGCTTAGATATAGCAAAGTAACACAGAGCACTACCAGGGCATCACCCACATTAAGGAGTAAATACACTTTTGGGAAGATGTTAAGTAGGATCTAATGTTCTGACTATCAATTCTGTTACTTTGTCAGTTTCCCTTCCTAATCTGGAACAACAGAATAAACTCTTTTTCCTAATCTGGAACAAGAACTGAATGTTACAGTGATAAAATATTCACACCAAGTAGCACATCTTTGGGGTTTCTCTTCTTATATTGAGCCAAACAGAGGTGTATATTAACTAATATTTGTCAAACTGTCATGCTTTATATCTTTTCTGAAGTCCATCTAAATTTCATCATCTGTAGCACTACTCAGGAACTCCTTATTGGTTCCGCCGCGGCCATGAGCAACATCTGGACAAAACCAGGGATGATTCCAGTGCTTGGCTCACACTTGGCTATGTATTTCCTGCTTATAGGTGGTCGGTGTGTCCTCATTAACTATTGTGACCTGAATTTAAATTGGGAGGGGACCGTAAGCTGATGCCAGTTCAGAAAACCCCCGCTGCCTGTGCTAAAAAGTCCACAGAGCCACTTTCTCCCCACCTATCCAGGACATCCCCAGCTCAGACTCTACCTCATGCAGTGGGATGTTGACCTGCTGCATCAGTTCTTTGGTTGCCTCTTGGAGCTCCTGAAGCAACAGGTTGTAGGTGGGGTCCATCTCTTGCTCTGTGGGACTGGGTTCCTCCATGCGGGCCAGGTTTTGCAGCCACTCCCATTCCTCCCTAGGGGGAAAAAAACAGAAGCATTTCTGTGTAGTAAATAAATGCAAGTCAAGGGCTGATCGTGGTGGGCTTTAAGTGGCTGGGGTCTGATAGCTTCAGCATTTTCAGTTTTGAAGGAAGCTTTCATGTAGGAAATATGTTAGGTTTAGAGCAGGTTTCAGTGCTTGGATTTCAACCAGGCACTTAGCACCGTGTGATTATTCGTTCTTGATATATAATCTTACTTTCTTTTTGATTTGAAAGAAAATAAGATGATGACTAAACTATACCTTTCATAAGTGACAAAAAAGGAAGTCCTTGTTTGGGTCAAAGGCAGTCTAGAAATCTGATCCCAGAATTCCACTGAGACCGATTCTTATGGTGGTGAGCTGGCAGACCAGATGAAAGGCCCATAAATATCTCAATATCATGCTCTGAGGACAGATCAAGAACCTGCAGTAACTGCACAAGACACACTTGAGTTGCACCCACCAGTGGCATCCATCCAGAGCAGTGGGGCAATCTCCCCCAACTGACCCCCCCAATCTGCTGCCCCTAATTCTACCACCTGAAGCTACAATCAGATGACTGACAATTGCCCAGCTTGTCTCATTTCCACATATATACAATTTTTCTTAGCTAGCATATAGTAACATAATTGCATGACCAAGGGCACCAGAGACCTACACAGAGGCCTTTAACTTCACCTGCTCAATCATCTGCCCTCCTCGTTCTCTTGGTTTTCTCTCTTTTGCTCTAGTCTCAATCATCCCAATCTCCTGACAGGTACAGAGCAAATACTAAGTGCATGGTGGGGAGTTTTTCACCCTGGTTGCCTGTAAAGGTCTGATGAGATGCACCACGCCTGCTTTGAAAGCCATACCTGGAGATGTTTGGGTTGTTCCGTATCTTCACGTGGCATAAGATATTGGGTAGCTGTTCAGGCACCAAAACCCGTATCTGGTCAACAGCACTGCAGAGCTTCAGGTAACCCAGATACAGGCCAGGTGGGAGAGCCTGGCTGCTTCGCTGGTGATAGGCCAACTTGTCCTAAAGGAGAAAACATACCCATAGATCCACTGCTTCTCTGTGCCATCACGGCAAATCTTGCCACATAAATACTTGAAAATTCAGGGCAAGACAACAGCCCAACGGTAAAGCTGAGATCATCGGTGGGTGCTGTCACATATGCCAAGATGGTTAAGGCGAGTGGAGTGAAACAAGAAAGCAGGTCAAACTGAACAGTATGAGGTTGCCTCAATTAAAAACCTAGGTTGACTATTTTGTTTGCAGGTTTCAGGTTCCAACCCAGAAGCTGGGCAGACAGACTGGCATTGGCAAGATGCACCAGAAATATTACAAAGAAAACTGTTGTCAGATATCTAAGTGCTTGAATGCCTTCTGTTGCCACAGACACTTGACTGACCAAAAGGAAGTGAAAGAGAGAGAAAAAAGAGGAAGAGGAAGAACCAGAAGGGTCAAGAAGAGAAGAAAAGGCTTGGTACTCTTAGGAGGTGGGTGGCTGGGGGTTCTGTGCTCAGACCTGCTCATAGACTGGGAAAGCCACAGCTACAGGAAGCAAGAAGCATAAATGCCTCGAAAAGAGGTGGCTTGAAAAGAGTTCTCTGAATCCTTTTGTGGAACGAACATTCCTTTACCTTTAAGGACATCGGCCATGAATAAAAACTATCCAATAAAAATGTGTATAAATGTGCACCACAACACAGCCGCCCAACGGAAAAAAAATAGTATTTTTGTTGTTAAAACAAGCTGATGGGAGCTTATCTCAGTGCGAATTATTTTCTGAAAGTGGCATTCTCTGGATTTTTAGTTTTATTTTTGCAATCTGGAAAGAGGGAGGCAGCAAAAATGGCCCGGGGGGCATGTGGCCTGAAGGCTATGTGATTCTCGCTCCTGATACATATAAATAAAGTCCGCAAATAAGGCTGCTTTATACAGGAAGACCGTTGCTCTGCCTAGCCCATTATTGTTTACTCTAATTAGTGGTAACTTTCCATGGTCTAAAGCACATGCCTTTTGCTTTTAATTCAGTTCCGAACTTTCTAACAGACACTTTCTAGGTGTCACTGAATCCACACACTTCCCTGTTGATCAGGTTCCTTAGGAATAATGGATAGTGATTTAACCAATATATCTGGTGCATGAAAGATTGAAACATAAGCCTATAACCTGACCATTTATATAAAATAAAACTGAATGTCAATAAATATATATATACATACAATAAAATATGAGTATGTCACTGTACTTCCCCAGAAACTCTTCATTCTTTCCCGTAGTTTGGGGACAATTATTTTACTTGCAGATGCACAGGATTGAACCTGCGACTTTTTCCATGCAAAATACCTGCTCAACTACTGCACAGTGTCTCTCCCTCAATAACAAGGGGTGAGCCTTCCTTCTTTACTGAGATCCCCACAAATAGCTACCTGCAAAGCCATAAGCAGTACATCCAGAGCTGTAGGCTCTTCTGGAGATGAGATGGACTTGCGGCTTGTCTGCAGTTTTGAGACGGGAATCCAGCGGACACTTTCAAAAGTCTGGTTTGTCTTCACTTCCTTTAGGGTCACCAACAAAATGTTTCCCTGCTTGTCTTTGATGGGTTCAAAAAAGACCTGTCCCAAATCCTGGATTCCCAGTAAACCCTTCACAGATACGAAGAGAAGAAGAAGAAGAATCACATTTTTGAAAAGTGGAATCTGGAAAGTGGAATTGTCTATACATAGCGGAGCGGAGCAGAAACAGAAGTCGATCCGGAGAATAATTCTTATTTAAGGTGTGATCACCCAGGGGAATAGATCACATTTTGGACCACTTGTAGAGAAGGGACTTTAAAGTTGTCTTTGATTTCTTCCTGAAAGGATAATACAGGAAACCTGCAGTTTTTCACCTTCTCTCCTTTCTTTCCAACCCCACCCTCCCTGTTCCCTGGATCTGAAATTATTGATGCTGCAGTTGTGTGATTCTGATGATTTAATCAATGACTTCGTAGTAGAAAAAGGCAAGGAAAGCTCATATCTAAGATAAAGAGCACACATCTTTGTTAGTCTGTCTTTCTCTTTTCTGCCTCTAATCATGACGCATGAAGGTGGGTTTAACACAAGGGACTTGTGGGGTGCTGCTCCTCCCTGGGGGCAGACAGTACTCTTTGCTCTACCCCACGACTGCCCTGGAAATGCAGAATTGCCCCAATCTGATTCATATTTACACATGTGTCTGAAGACAGTGCACATGCCTAATATTAAGCAACAAAACTGCATGTATTTGCAGGACACACACTTTTTGCTGTATGTTGATGCAAACATAACTCTGTAACTTTCTTGTGATGGCTGGCATAACAGTTGGTCCCTGCGGTGACTGTACAGGACAGGCAAAGTAAGCACAGCAGTTTCACACAGACCACCATCATTTATAACACCATCCATGTATCTGGAAGAGAGTCCACATTTCACACCATCCTTCTCAAAGACCCTCTCATTGGACACCCCTGTGCTAAATATAAAGAAATCTTATTATGTATAAATTTCTGTCTATTTCGGGCAACAGTGTAAAAAACACGTATATTTTTTCTTCCTCTGGAGTCTGTATTTCTTTCCTTAGTCAAAGACATTTATTTATTCCATAGATATATGAAATATGTAGTATATCTGTATACCACCTGATTAGTGCTTGGCACTACTTTGGGTGGTTTATATCAAAAATAGAGACAATACAGGATAATATAAAAAGAAACTACTAATAGAACCAAATCAAATGTAATAAATCAGACATTAATCCAAAGCACCACACAGATACTGTAACTAACAGACCAAACAATGGCTAGATGCCAAACATCTATAAAAACATTCGGAATGGATGTCCTCACAGGCTTCAGTGAATAACCTTGGTTTGAGCATTCTCTTAAAGAAATAGCTGGATTCTCTTCTATAAGCCTACTCACTGCCTTTCTCAAGTAACATGTATATCTACTGTAGACACTTTGAATCTACATTTTAATTTTAATAACTATAGTGATTAATCAATTACAGATTGAACAATCAAGATAGTTGGTAAAATGCATGTAACTTATACCATGTGATCTTCCCAGAAACTCCCCAGAGAAATGATAAAACAATGGTTTCTTAATTTGAGAAATTTACATCTCTTGCTTACTTTACCAACTGCTAGCAACTGGTGGGAATTGTGCCATTTTACTGTTTTATATGTACACCTCCCAGAATAGTGCTGTGCACTAATGGGAAGGCACATGTCAGAAATGAACGAACGAACAATGCTCCCAAGCGCTACTGCAATGTTCCTTGTTCATGAAGGATACATCCTTTTACATTTTTGAACCCATTTGGCAGCTGGGCTAGCTCAGCCTAGAGCAAGTATTAGATCCATCCAGGTCAAATTGAGATCCAGGTATCTCTGGCTCTAATATGTTTCAGACTGGCTTGCCATCTATCTTTTAGCATTCTTACACTCTGGATAGAGAAACATTTTACCTGCATCTGTGAGATGGCGAGCAGCATCTTGAGACGTGTTTGCAAAATGCAGGAGCAGGATGACTGGGAGACAGTGACACATTGACGCAACCAGAGGATTTCATCCCACATGCACGACACCTGCACAAGGCAAAGCAACAAGATTACACAGGTTATTCCAGGATTTTCAGATCTTCTTTGTTTGGGATGCATAAGGAACAGCTACACTAGTTTCACATATTTTGCAACCAACAAAGCAAATGTTTGATTCTTGCTGACAACTATCTTTCTGCAGCAGGTACAGTTAACAAATCTTTTCTCAAAATGTTATGTGTAGGTTCCCTCTTAATTTTCTGCAGCAGAGCAGTGTTTTTAAAAAAGTTAATAAAATGGGAATGTAAAGAGAGACGTTTTGGTAGATTATAACAACATATTTTATGTGTTGATTTAAAATTTTAAAATGTTTTTCCACTTACAAGATGCTTAAGGAAGATTAAATTAAAATGTCATAAAACATAAAGACGTACAGTTTTGCACCAGGATTCTTGTTATGGAGTTACTTCAGGACATCAGGCCTAGCACTGCCTAAGGCAGAAGTGGAGGTGGTGAAATGTTGTGTCTACAGATCCTAATTTAACAGGAAAGTTTGGTTAAAAATACTGGTGGATCTAAAATCTAAGGCATTTTCCATGCCTTCCTGAGAAAGCTGTGCCAGGGAGTCCTTGCTTACAATGTCACACATTGTAAAGTATCTGCGCAAAGGAGTCACCTTTGTGAACCAGAGGAAGTCCTGCATGAGCAGGCAGGAGTAGCTGTCATCGATCTCCACCACGGGGATCTGATCCTCATGCGTCACCAATATGTTGTCATCTTTATAGAATATTGTTGCCAGATGCAGGCCCCTGGGAGGAGAGAAAAAGCCTTAGTCTGGGAAAGATTCTGTCTACTATGGGAGGGACTGCAATGAGATTTTTCTTCTTCTTTCTTGCATTGCCTGGAAAGCGATGAAGTATGAAGAGGGATCTCCTCAGTGCTACCTAGGAAATTTACTATGAGGGATAAGGGGTTACACAGGGTTATGGATGGCACAGCCTGCTGAAATGACCCACCCTCTTACCTTTTCAGTGTCTTTAAGAATTTGCTGCCTGGGTGGAAGAGATACTTTAGACTCTTGGAGACAGAATGCTTTCTGCTCTGTGCCTGATTCTTACAGGGCTCTAAGAAGCAAAAAGAGCACACAGAAGCTATTATACCTGCCACTGCCATTTCAGTCCCCCCCCGACCCCCACCCTGTTTACATAAAATGTGCAGGCCCTCAATCATCATCTGGGAGAGGCTTGAAGTCATCAAGTACCCTGTTTACATAAAATGTGCAGGCCGTCAATCATCAATCAGGAGAGGCTTGAAGTCATCAAGCTTAAGATGCAGGATGCACATACTAAGGATTCTGATGTTATCCCAAACAAAGAACACCAAACGTATCCCAAACAAGCCTTGAACTCTGTAGTTGAAGGCTTGCGGCCTTAAAAGCAAGAAATTCATTCCCGTCTGCCTCCTTGGTCCAGACTGCCCCCTACTTTGTTGCCAAGCATACAGAGCTTTGTGCGATGGTGTCAACGCATCGTCTCTTTTTGACTTCTCTTTTCCTCCATTTCCCGCTTTTCAAACTCCTTTCTTGCCCCAGGCTTCAACTGTTTCCACACATCAATTCTGCAGAAGCCTGCTGGCTATGCTGTTCTCTTTTCCCCACCATGCTGCCTACTGGGGCTCTTGTCTCTTAGTTCCTCTCCCTACCCACTCACCCCCACTTCCTGGACTTCTTTCCCTGTTTCCCCACCCCCACCCCTGGCTCTCTAATTTTGGTCCTATATTCAAGCTTTGCTTCTCAAAGGGGAACATCTGTAAACATTCCATCTCTAAGGAGGGCTAACAGACAAGCAACAACCAGTTTTGACCTATTATATATGTATACAAGATAAGCGTTGTAAAGACCCATTAAAAGTGATACATATCACTTTAATTGTGTGTTATAATTCTTACTGCATTCATCTTAACAGCCCTATGAGGGATGTCCTAATTATTCTAATTTAACAGACAGACAAGAAACAGAAGATAATGGCAACCTATCCAACTGTTCCACATGTTATTCAGAGACAATAATAAAGCAGTCGTTGGCTTTGCACTTTAGATCACATCGATTCTCCTACAAGAAACTGCCCAGCTAGTTTGAAGCGCCAGTGGTGAGAATTCTATGACTCTTTGCAGTCCAGTGATCTCTAGACACAAGACATGACGGTGACAGCGAGGCCCTATGGTGGTGGTAGCCATTCAGCTCCTGAAAGGCCCCCCACATGGCTGGAAACGCATAGCCAGCCAATCCCGGCTGAGAAGGTCAGGCCAGCGATGGGATGTCCAGATGCAGAGGAAAGCACCTTCTCCTCTGGTCCTCCCCTGCAGCATAAAAACACAGCCACTTGCAGACTCAGGACAGTTGGCTTTGGAGCTTTCCCAATCACACTTTCCTGTAGACATGCTTTGGAACATCACCGGTCTTGTACAGGGCAGGTGAGAGGATATTGTAGTTTTCTGTACATTAAGCTGTTACTTCTATGTTCAACTTCACTGTGGTTTTGGGCACTTGGGGGGACCCAGTCAGAGGACCACAGCTGGCATGACCATATCCTTAAGGGATGAGGCCAGTCAGGGACCTGGATCAAGGGCTAGCCATGCTGACTTGCCCCCGAGACAACAGGAAGCCTGTTGAATGCCTGAATGGCACCCACCATTTCAGTGGAATCAAGGGCTAGCCATGCTGACTTGCCCCCCCCAAGACAACAGGAAGCCTGTTGAAAGCCTGAATGGCACCCACCATTTCAGTGGGGCTTCACTGCACACTGGATGGGGTGATGTTGTTGATCAACAGCTGGGTTGTGGCCAGTGCTTAAGTCCATTCCTGAATGCTACTGCAAGTTGATTCAGTTGTAAACAATGGAGCTGTGGTGATTTATTTCTCATTAGAAATAATGGGTCATGCAGTGTGTTTCTTGAGAACTCTGCATACTTGGGCAGTAAGCCTAATTGGTTTTCCCCAGTACTGCAGTTATTAGCTGGGGGACAGGTAAAGAACCCCTGCTCTATTATGATTTAGTAATGTTTCCTTTAGCAATTGTTACGTTCAAAGCTAATTTGAGCATTGATTTCCCCACTACACTTTCTTGGCTCTGGGTAATATTTATTTATTGCACAATAGGACCGTATCGGGGGAAATGATAAATTCATTGCAAGAGAAAGGGTTTGTGGAGGGCTAAGAAACCAGAGTTTCTACCCTGGAGGTTCTCATGGATTTCCAAACTCAATTTTGAAAATTTGAAAGCGCACTGACAAATCCCACAGTTGGATATATTTTCTCCCATCCCCTTCTTGAGGCATAAGAACTTATTCCTTCTGAGGTTCTCGGAAGCTTCTTTCCATCACCATTTCCCTTCATTTGTTTAGAACATGTAAAGTCGTCCCAAAACAAATAATCTGATCACAACAAAGACCTCAGAAATTGTCTTACAACCGCAGGGAACTTGATGCAGGTCTATTCAAGAGTCCTTTTTTGTGGCCAACGTTGGTCAACCAGAAACAATATCAATGCCATGTCCAAAGGAGTCTGTTCTGGGTTCCAACAGAAAGCCAATCTTTGTTACCAGAACTCTCAAGCAGAACTTTTAGGAAATTGGCATCCAGGCTTCCTCTAGCCATGAAGTGGGACTCACCGTGACAGACACAGTGCTGGTGCATCATCTTCACCTGGCTGAGAAGGTGATCCAAAGCTTCCGCTTGACCTCTTCGCCGGGGAGCCCTCCCATCATATTCTCTCCAGTCTGAAGCAGGAAGGAGATCAAATAAATAGAGCACCAGCCACAACAACTCTTAAAAGTTCCTGACTGAGTGCTTTATGATCCTTCCTAATATCCTTTCTTTTATTTATTTATTTATTATTTTTTATTTAACAAGGGGTGACAAAAAGAAGTTATATTAATGACTCTCAGTATATTTCTTTTATGTTCTACAAATGACTCTGCTTCTCACTAGTTGTGGGTGGGGACAACAAATCATGGGAAACAAAGCAGCTCCCTCTCCTGATTCACTTCCATGATGTCTATTGCTATTTAAATCAGTATAAATGTTTTTAACATTAATAGCTCTGTTTAGGTTTTCAGGTTATGGTCAACCCTGAGGCATGAGGGGAGGGAGCAGGCCAACCCTGTCCTTTCCATCATGGTTCCCCTCCCATCGAGAGCAACAGCTACAAAAAGGAGAGCCTCTACCCCTTTTTGGCAAAGGTGTCAGGTTTTCCACATGATTTGGAACCCTGAAAAATCAGTGGACATTGCATGTAGACGATGCTGTCTTCTTCCAATGTTGATGGTGAGAGTGGGGCTAAGCTGCTTCCTTTCCTCACGTGTTCAGGTTAAGCCCATCTTGAACACCTGAAAAGAGCTTCTTTGAAGACAATTTTTGAGGAAATACAGTACTGGGATGAAGAACTAATTTGCTTGACTCCGCTCTGCGCACCACAGCCGGAGAAGATCAGAAATGTAGCCCGTTCTAGCTATGCTCCTTCTTACTTTTACATCGAAGGACAGTAACCACTGGTGGGAACTGCTTGTAAGGATGATGAAATGGCACAGCTGCTGCCAGCAGGAGGAGACAACGAAGTACAGTCAGTAGCAGACAGGTTCCAGCCTATGGGATCTCTTTTCAATATTTCTAGAGCCTCACGTCTGCTGCTGGCTGTCAACTGGGCAGATGTTTCTCCAGACCAATGCTGAGAGGCCAACTCACCTGGACAAATAAATAAACCGTACTTCTTCTCCCGTGCTTCTTAGTTATGAGGTGGCAGAGCTACTGAACAGCCCAGGCAAGTGTGCGTGGAACAGCTCTTTTACATTAACTTTACATTAATTGGTTTATATACTCCCCTGTGCTGCTGCTTTCCATGGAAAGATCAGTTCTGTTAATTTTGGCTGAAGGCTGGCACTATTTTTAGCAGCTTTAAAAACACCTAAGGGGGTGCCTCACACTTTTACGTGACAAAAGTTGGTTATTTTTATTTGGGGGAGAGGAGAAATCGTTTCTTTAAAATGTGAAAGCAAGCAATCATGTATTTTCTAATGCAGGCTGGATATTATAGCTATGAATAAGTATTACATAGTCTCTAATACTTGGAATGCACAGTCTATTGAGCTTCAATCCTAACCAACCTTCAATGTGGTCACAATGGATTTCCAAGCCAGACCACATGGATTCTCCTTGAAGTATTGCCTTTTTGATCTTGGAATCACCGAGTGTGGCAACCCACACAGAAGAACTGAATTCTCTGTTTTAATGACCCATGGGGCAGCCATTCAAAGGTGAAGGTATCAGCAAGGGGTGCAGTACTAAATTCTGAAGTGCAAGCATTCATCATAGTGGTCCCCACAGCCAAGCCTCCCCTAAGAGTCAAAAACTGGCACAACTGTATTTTTCCATAGGTACAAATCAGTTCTGCCTGCTTGCATTTCTAACACAAGCACTGGGTCTTTTGTAAAGCTGAAGGATCTTGGTTGCCTGTTCAAGACCAAGGCACCCCCAAATACTGTACTCCATAATACAACAGGGGCCTCTCACGATAATGTACAACCGCCAAGAAATTCAGTTCCACCACATACACCTCCAGCTTGGTGAATTCTGCATCAGGTTTCAGAGGGGTGGGTGGGTTTCAGTTGGGGTGTGTTTTGATCTTCTTTTTGACTCATGGGTCTCAATGTGTGAGAGAGTCACACTGGTGGTGAGAGGCATCACCTGTATGCCTAAACGGGTGATGCCTCTCACGGCATACAATCTACCGCCTTGTCTGACATTGGGTGGGGAAACAGACCATCTTTCCTAGCCTCAATGACACTGAATAGGAAGCAGTTCCACCCTCTGATGCCCTTGTGAATAGGCAAAAAATAAGATCCCCTTTTCTTTTGTTGAGCTGTGCTTTTAGCTTAATATACATTATAACAAAATGTCATGATGGCCTCAAAATCTCTCCCTACTTTTACATTATCATTTGTGCTCTGATAAGGGAGGTATCAAGTTTGGAAAGCTATTTTGAAAAAGTGATCTCTTCACTTTTTATTGTGCCAAGCTCCTCTCCTCCACCAAGAAAAATGACCCTCTGCGGTTCCTTTTCTCTGGAATAGTTACTTTTTTGTTTTTTTTTCACACACATATATTTATGTTTTTCATTCAGCAGCATGAGGCACAATGTAAATCATCACTGGAACCATGTGATATTCCCAACCAATATTTAGGGGAGCCACAACTCTTTAGCTATGTGACATTCAAAGTAACAGTTAAAGAGCAAACAGAGTGGTTAGTTATCCCTCCTCTTTATATATTAGTTACATTGATACCTTGCTTCTCCTCCTCAAGGCTCTTCCCTTCCTCCTTTATCCCCACAAAAACCCTGTGATGGAGGTTCAGCTGAGAGAGAGCTGAAGTGCTCCAAGGTCATCCAGAAAGACTAAAGGCTTATTAGAGGCTTGATCCAGAATCTCTTTAAAGTCCCAATCAAACACTCAAAGTGCAACATCACATGCTCTCAACACGATACCATCCCACAGTTTTCGAGAAAAGTTACATGCAATTATTAGGAAAAGGAATTAGTTTTTTTTTTTTTTAAATAGGAATCTCTGAGGAAAAGAGATTTTCTGGCATGTTTGCAGGGTGGAAGGGTAAATCTGATGTGAGTTCAAAGACACAAGGGTTTGCCTACAGAAGCCTGTGTTGAAGGTTTGCCTAGATTTTTTTTCCTTTTAAACAAAAAAGGAAACAGATTTGTTGCCACTTACAGCAATGCTAGAACTCCAGCCAGCAGGCCGCCTCCCACAGAATGCACAAAAAAAGACTGACACTGCATGAAGACACAGTTCGGCTGCCATTGGCAAGGCTTTGTTTTTAATGATGACTCTCCATCAGTTGAATGCAATAATTTTGATAGGAGAGAGCATATCCATAAGGACAGACTGGGCTGGTAGCGATTATGTTATGCTATGTTATTTTATTAATATGCCATCTTTCTTCCAATTGAAAAAAACCAGTGGCAGTAAGGATGACTCCCTGGACACCAGAAGGCGTAACACCAAGAGACAGACAGACGGAGAGACAGACAGATAGCACTAAGCAGCAACACCAAGATGTACACGCAAAGTTTCCACCCCCACCGTGTTCACACTTACTGGAGGGAATAGCAAAGGGTGGCACCGACGCCTGTGGAAGTCCCCAGCCTTTCATGTTATAGGCGGACACTTGGACATAATAAGGTGTGCCCTGTGGAGAAAAACAAGGGAGAAGGAGTCATTAGGATTCAGAACAGCCTATCTCTTAGCAATCATGGGGGCTGAAGAGCAGTTTCTTATTCTCTTTCCAGAATACAGTCATTAAGCTTTTTTTTTTGGTAACATATTGTTGCTGGATGGAAGCCAAGGGTGGGTGAGCCACTGCCTGTGGCTCACAGTGGCTTAAAGGGACCTTGCTGAAGCCATGGAACTCATCACCATCTTATTGACAATTTTCCCCTTCTGCTATGGATCCGGACTAAACTTGCTGTGGAACTCTGGGATAACTCAGTTGTTTGCCAGATTTGAGAAAATTCAGCCCCTGCAGATTAAATAGGAACGGACTCCAAATACTCTGGATTTGGACTTGCGCTACATCTGATACAAAATGACTCCGGATTAAAGTTTGAAGGGATCTGTAGGCTCTGCTGAGATTTTGACACAATGCCTCAGAGCCTTGAGGTGGCGGATCGTTCTGTAACCTTCCTTGCCAGGAAGGGGGTTCTCCATGCTGACACTTTTCTCCCCATTCACCTTCCATGGGGGAGATGACATCAGGCTCACATTTTACATGATGCCTTCTATTAAAATTGTTGACAAAGCCAGTGCAGACACCATCTGAGTCCAGGTTAACTTTCTGGATGTCCAAAAGGCAGGCAATAAAGAAATCTGAAATTTACCATGAATCCTATCTTGTGTGTAGTTATCAAAGGACACTCCATATTCTGTGTTCAGTTCTGGGATGCACAGGATCACCCAGCAGAGGAATGGGGACTTGGCCTTCACAGCAAGGCTAATCCATGCAACAACCTTTGCTTCTTAACACATACCTTGGGGAAATCTCCAGTATAAGTTTTACAGACTTTTGTCATTTTCTAAATGTATGGTGAGAAACAGAGATGGGCACAAACCAGTGGTTTGTGCCAGTGTTTTGTTTTGTTTTTTGGCCAGACAGGGATTTGATGGTTCTCAGCCCTGCGCCCACTCAGAGGCATCGCCCCTCCAGAGGAGAGGGGGCAGGGAAGCCCCACTGCCAAACTGGTGACTTGTGCCCATCTTTAGTCAAAACTAATCCAATTTTTATATTGGGCTTCGCCACAGCCCGTTGGATGATGTCATCTGACTGATAGCTAGTGGTCGTGCCTGGCTGGCTTGAGAAGCTAACACTTCCGTAGACTAGAGTGCGTTGAATGTATGCCTCCTTGGAAGAATAAGGAAGCCAAGCAAGCTGATGACGCGTTTCTTTGACAATCACGTCCTCCTGCGTCTCACCTCTCCCATCTACAAGACACGACCCTGCTGTGTGCTCAGAGGTCTGGCTCCTGTTTTCTGCTCTTGGAAGCTGTAGACCACCACACAATGGCAAGAGGACAGCTGACAGGCACCGCCGGCCCTGCAGTTCCCAGAGAGATAAAACGGCAGGGTGGGGGCAGTCGCCAGCCTGCCTGTGACCTTCAGACACTCAAGGGCTAGAACAGAGCCACTGGTTCTCATCTTCAATTAGCCATGGAACTGGTGGAGGGAGTTTGATCTTTGTAAAGGGGGGGACAGTTTCAGATTTATTGGTGGTGGTGGTGGTGGTGTTGGGGTGTGTGTGTGTGTGTGTGTGTGTGTGTGAGAGAGAGAGAGAGAGAGAGAGAAGAGCAAACACAAATGAGTAGAAATGACACAAGGAAAGGAGACTATAGATTGGACTGCTCACTGAATCAATGCCACTGTTTACCTAGCCACTGTGACAACAGGACACTGGGACTTCTGTTTTTGGATATTCGTCCTTTTCCATGCAGGAAAACCATGAATTATTCCTGTCATTTATTACTTCGCTTTTAATGGGAAAATACTAACTATGCCTTAATAATTCTCTCATACCAAAAGGCTGTTTTCAATAGGGCTGCCCTGAATGTTCTTTAATTTTGACGCTCACTTTAGGCAATGCAGCCAAAAGAAATTAACCAGAAAAATGTCCTTCCTGGATTGGGTCACTCTGGGCTGACGCTTTTATTCCTCTGGTCAGCTGCTGTTTCTTGATGCCCCTTTCTTTCTTCACCATCACCACCTCATTTGCTGATGCTGCCCCTTAACAGCTGTGGTCCCTTGTGCAGTTTTGTTATGAGCATCGGTGGTACCACGTTAGACACAGCCTTGTCAAAAATGGTACAGATAACCTCAGCTAATTGGATTAAACGGCAATGTGGGCAAATAAGGGCTGGGGAAGCAAAAATAAAAATAAAGCAAGTAATGTAGCCCTGAAATTCTGACCGCTGTTGTAAATGGCAGTTGCTTTCCAACATGGATGCGAAAGAACACAACAAGAGGGAAGCAGCAGCATCTCAGCCCTAGTTTTTCCCCTCTCCCCTTTAGGCTCAAAGATAGCTGAAGGCATTTAAATTTCTGAAATTCAGGTAAAATACTTATTATAATCCTCAATTTTGAATGCACTGATCCAGAAGCAATTCCATAATGTTCCTCCTGTCCAGCCATAAAAGCAAATCTTTTCTTGGGTAGCAAATGGAAACCACTCCAGAGCAACCAGGGCAACAAAAACCTCAACTAGAACCCCTTCTCCCTGACAAACAGCAACGAATGTGCAGATTGTATTTCACACGTGGCTTAGATCTCTAGCTGCAGGGCCAGAGGTTGGGAGTTTGATTTCCCCCACGGTGCCTCCTCGAGAGGGGCTGGATTCGATGATCCACAGGGTCGCTTCCAGCTCTGCAGTTCTAAGGTGGTGGTGGTGGTTATTGTTATTAGGGTGAGAATACTTTGTCTGCTTGAGATTTCAAGTGGTGCAGTCCAGACAGTAACAGATGAATATGTATTTATACAGGTTTCTTTTCATGTGCATCATTTCCTTGCACTACAACCACAACCAGCTTCCTGCCACCATAGCTCAGGGGTAGAGCACACACTTTGAATGTAGGAGGTCCTAGGGCCCATCAGGGAAGTTTGGAAAAACTGTTATCTGGATGGCTGTAGAGCCGTTGGAAGGCTAGATTGGCAATATGGGCCAGAATGGACAAGAGTGTGACTCAGCAGAAGGCAGCTCCCGATGTTCCTTCAGACCTCTGGAAAACCCTGGCTCCTGACGCAGTGCTAATGCCAAGCCTCACTCATGGCCCACTTCAGCTGTTACTGCAGGAAAAGTGCTAACCTCTGTAAAGTATAGCTCAGCGTAGCTGATAATTCAGCTCCATCAACAACACTTACATTGATGTCATTTGTCACTGAGGAAGCAGGACAAAATGCTTTATTACCAGGAAGCAAAGTAGTTGTTACTACTTTATAACTAAGCATAAAGGTACAAACATGGCACAAATTAAGTGCATTAGCTGACATTCAAACCCACTACTACAAGTTGCAACCAAAGGTTCAAGGGGAGTGCGACGTCATGCTTAATTGTACCTACTAGTGCCAAAGAGACCACAGATGCTTAAGGGACCTCCACATGGGCCGTTATATATAGCTGACTATAATAACCACTGTGGTATGTATGAAAGTATGCCATCTGTGAAATGGGTTCATTCTGTATAGAAGGCAGACTGTAAAGTTTGCTGCCCATCCTCACTGGAGAGAGAGCCCTTCATTCTGGTGATAGAACAGAAAGACTGAGATGGAAAGTTGGGTCAGGGTCATGCCCAGGAGTAATCTCGTGACTCAACACCCAGCACGGGAACTTACTCACCGAGACAAGGCCATGGATGGTGATATGTAGATTTTTCAGCTTGTCGATCACCACTTCTCCCAGTGGTGGGGAAAAGGTGGGGGAGCAGCTCCACTCCACTGCGAACAAAGGAAAAGCACAGCCATTCGGTCAGGGACTTGGGGGTCTTTCATCAACAAGGCAAAAAGATGTAGCACTTGGCAGGCGGACAGGGCGAGATTAGAGAGCTGGGCTGCCAGGGACAGGACAGCTGCTGCGGAGGGGATTGACGGTGAAACTGAAGAACCAGCTACAGCAAGACCAGCTGTGCACACTGGAAAAAATGTCTGAGAAAATGGCAGAGGAGAGGGGGTGGGGGGGGGGAGAAGGGAAGTGTGAAGTGCCAGTGAACAACGAGAGGGGACACCTTTCTCATTTGCCGAGGAGCCAGCGTTTCCTCCTTTGTCACAGGGAAGTTGCGCTTTATTATGCAAAAGGGAAGTCTCTCTAGCTAGTGGTACTTCAGATGTATACTTCAGTATGGGAGGCACAACAGAAACAGCTGAAGCCACAATATATATCAACAGTTCAGCCAACAGACACACAGAAAGAGAGACACAGAGAGAGAACAACAGATGGACCATATTTCCCAATGGAATCATTAAGATTTTAGCAACAAGGGACATGGGAGCTGCCCCCAGAAAAGGCTCACTGGGCGTGCATGCAACCTATGGGTTACATATTGCGCCCCCCCCCAGCCACTTGTTTTCTATATAGTACACAAGGATTACAAAGTCCCTGCTCAAAACCCACAGGCAAAAGAACAGAGAAAAAAGTGGGTTTTGATCTCTGAAAGCTCACACTGAAAGAAATCTGGTGGTCTTTAAAATGCTACTTTTTTTGCCTTTTCCTCCTCCTTTTTCTTTTTACATTTTTTCACTTTAATTTCACCAACAGATGCAACAAGTAACTTTTCATGGAATTTCTTAATTTGCAATATTCACTTTAAAAGGGAGCCTTGGGATGGGAGGTCGAACCAGAGGCATGAATGTTTGGTCATGAAAGGCTCCTTTCTGTCCTGAGGCTCCCAAAAGCCGGGAGCCCTAGGGACTCTTGGAACTCAAGGAGGGGGTGACGGGAAACTTTTAATAAATTAGGGTCAACGGCTGATGATGTCCCCAGGATTCACGTGTGCTAAAGGATTGCAGCCGTTATGTAATTTATAGAAGTTGGGTCTCGAAACTAGATCAGTGTGCTCCCAGGAGTAAACTAGGACAGTCAACGAGGATTTTTACAAAAAAGTGAAGAAAAAAATCAGTGTGCTCCCAGGAGTAAACTAGGACATGATTTCCAAATCAATGAGGATTTTCACAAAAAAGTGAAGAAAGAACCATTCATAGGTGCCCATAAGTTAGACCATCAGAAAATATGGCTCTGAGGATTCTACAGGTTTACCTTTGTATTTAGTGACAACAGCTGAATTGACACTCAGTGGCTCCTCGAAGGAAACCTCCAAGGAAGTGCTGCTGGCCACTGACAGATGAACATTCATGGGTGGATCTGGAACCCCTGGAAACAGACAAGACAGGTGTCAGGAAGGAAACGTCCAGGTGTAGAAAGAGCTGATTCTTCCTATAGTATAAACCTAAATTGGCCATCAGAATATCCAAAGGAGTGGAGACGCCATTCTGGGATGAGGCAGGAGCTGGAAATCCTATTTCTGTGTTTGTGTGTCTCGGTAGGGGTGAAGAGCCAGAGAAGAGAGATGATTGCACCCTGCATATATGAAGTAAGACAGGGATGACAAATAACTAGAGGCATCAGAACTGAAGAATTCTGCCCCCCTCCCCAGTACAGTACTTGAATTTTGAAACTCAGTTCAGAACCCAAATTATGAAGAAATGATAGGGGAGCCTTAATTAACTCTGCAAGCACTACCTGGACAGCCAAATTTGGTTCAAATCATTTCCTTCCCTCATAGCATTCTGAAGACAGCCTTTTATGAACTATAAAGGGTTGGAGCAATTTGTAGTTCAAGACCATTTAGGAGCCTTGATCTTCCCTCTGAAGCAATCAGATACTGCTACAAACAGGAATGCAGTATCAGGAATATCTGTGATGGGACAAGATGAAGAAAAGAACATTTGGGGTGAGGGAAAAACATGGCAGCTGGATTGGCCTTTGCAATTTGGGATTATGAATTAATTTTCCTAAAAAGTAAAATGGGCTGGGGGTGGGTGGCTACAGCTTCATTTTACTTGCAGCACCTACTGTTATTTCAGTAATCTTACTATGTTACTATTTTCATTCATTACAATCAATCTCTGCCATGGCGATATTCAATCCCTCTTATTAATGCACAGGGTCCACTGTGGAGTTTCAGGCTGCCTTTATTTTTATCAGCCAGCGGGGCATTTAACGTTGCTCTTGGGTAAGAGATGTGGTTTCAAATGTCCATCCAACAAAGGGCTCAGTAGGATAACTCTAGGGGAAATCACGATCATTCAGCCCCAACTGATGGCCTACTGTTACCAATGAATAATTATTTCTTTAAAGATGCGTAATTAATATTATGAATCATTCACTATGCACATCAGTCTGACAGCAATAGGAAGGGACTAACGTTTTAGAAGGGCACCATGTGAGAGTGGTCCTTCCCTAGTGTTTGGACACCGGCACAGATGATTTGAGCCTCCTCTGAAGTGGCTCCGGACTACACCGTTTGATTTCCCATTTCTGAAACCCTGCAGTGACACAGTCTCTGCTCCTACCCCTGACCTACTTGGGTGGCGGGGGTGAAGCACCCTGTCCTGCTCGATACTCACGAGCATGCTCAAATCCGGCATTCATGCGCTTGTAAAGCCGATAGCGCCACTCCCAGGCTTTCAGCTGTTTCTCTTTTTCCAAGCAGTCTGCGCTGGACACCTCGTTCCCCACCTGTGCGGTGAGATCATTGACCTGCTGCTCTGCCTCCCGGACCAGTGTTGACAAGTGCAAGGATCGACTCTCCAGGCTTACAACTTCAGAAAAGGTGGAGAAAGGAAACGAAACGAACACGTTCAGATGATGCATGAGAAAAGAAGCAGAAAGAAACTACTCAAAGCCCCAGAAGGGATCTCTGGGGGCAGCCTTCTCCAACCTGGTACTCACCAGAGGTGCCACAATCATCCAGTCAGTTAGGGGAAGGCTGCTCTGTGGCTTTGCCCCCAGATTATCTTCTGGATCAACACCCCTTTAGGCCCAAGCAGCACATCTTTCTCCCCCATTCCCAGGCAATGTGAGTCAAATGGTTGGCGTCTCTAGTCTGAATTAGTAAATAAATTACTGTACTAGATAGGTGACAGAGCCACTCTTTGACAGCTGCTTCTGCTCTAGAGGAATGCTGGTTAGGGTGGATCTAGGGGGGCAGCTCACTACGGCTCCCCGATGCAGAGAGATCCTGCTGACTTATCTGTCAGCAGAAATGTGCCCTGTGGTCAACATGGCCTTGCAGTAGACAGCAGGAGGCGCGCAACAGTTCAAAGCCAGCCCTTGGAGGTAGCCTGTCAGCACAGAATTCCAAGATTTTTCCTTTAGTATTTACTCGATAGGAATGAACAAGTCATAGAACCGGAAGACCCCTGAAACCAGCCAACACTTTGTTGGAGGGTGGAATCCGCCGACTCCTGTTACCTATGTTTTCGGGGGCAGGGCGTGGAGCAAAAAGGATGTACGGATCTTCCTATATTTCTCTCCTAGAAACTCTCCTTCAGTAAGTTCCGAAAAAGTAACACCGATTAAAAGTCATAACTGCTTTTTAATCTAGCTTTTTTTTTCTCTTCCTAACCTACATCAAAATCACCAGCCTCTGCATGTGCATTCAGGTGAAACACCTAAAAACCTTCCTAGACACCCTTTGTGAGGTTGCGCTTTGCAGCTGCTGACTGAGAGTAGCAAAGTTCAAACCCAGTCTTTGCAAGGTGCCTGCGTGCGTCCCCAAGAACAAGAGGCGAAGACCCGCCTTGAGGTTCAGAGAGCCTGTACTTGATGCCCTGGAATCTCTTGGTTTGCCCGACGACTCCTCGGGCCAGGCAGCAAAGAAAGGCAGGCTTCTTTTGGAGTTCACTGCCTCCTTTCACTGAACTCCATTATTACACCGGCTGCCAGCGAGGCCTGTGGCTACTCTCTGTGTGGGCCACCCAGCAAGCAGAGACCCCAGTGGCCGCATCCAGTACAACCTATTTAGAGAGTGAGTGAATGAGTGAGTGAGTGGGCGTGTGTGTGTTCGTGTGTGTGTGTGACTGAGAGAGACAACTTGTGGGAGAATATCTCCATCTCCAGGGACAGAGCGCTAATAAACACTTATTCAAAGTCACTGCCCTCCTGCTCTCCACTCACAGCCATGCCTTCGTTTCAAGAAAGGGCATTCTGTTCCTGACCCTAATTCCAGTACATGAGCTTCCTCGGGACAGAGGCTATCTGCAAATAACTAGCAGCTGAAGATTGCCCTGCTGCTCTTAGCCTGAAGGGAAGCAAATCCCCTTCCTCAGCTTTATGCTCGCTTCACCTGAAAAAGGCAGTCCTAAGGTTTCTTGAAGCAGAGCAGTTCTATGACAGGAAGGCAGCCTTCAAAGGAGGATCTGGGTGTTCGTCCGGTGTGGGAATTCTAGCACAGCAAACAATTCAGCTTGAAGAAGTCGGACCTTGGCTGCCCCACTTCTTGCGAACTGTATATCAGCTTAAAGGATCTTCTCTCTGAGTTGAACTCTCTCCTAATGTTTTTGCCACTGGCATAACTAGTCATTTGACATGCACTGTTGGAAGTCTTCCAAACACCCAGTCAAGATGGTAAACTGCAGCTCCTTGGGTGACATTATCCTCTGGCTCCCTATTGCTCCGATTCCCATTGGAACATGTTGTGTCACAGTATACACTTAAACCAAATCACTTCCTAGGTGCTTGACTTCACCAGACCCCGAAAGTGTTCCTACTTCATGAAAAGAAAACGTTTGGCAATATGATATCTCTCTATACAAACTGTGAGGCACACCATGAGCAAGTCAGGTGCTGGCAATGCTCTTACTGCCCATCTAGGTACCCTCTTGAGAAAATGATGCCATTTGGATCAGTGTGCCCCACCCACTTTTTCTTGACTTACAATGAGGGCTTTCCTTGGCTCCAGCCAACAGGAGTGTCTTGGCGATGGGTGAATTGTTGGTCATTATCGCAACATCCAGTGGCAGAAGACCCTCGCTGTTAGGGGTGTTGAGATCCAACTCTTCCACACTATACTGCTTGAGCAGCTCCTGCACCTTATCAAAGTCCTGCTGCTCAACAGCCTCAAAGAGAGCAGCATTGCCTTGAAACTGCAAAGAGGAACAGAGTCACACAGTTCTCCCAGATCTGCAAACGTCATTCATTTTGCAGATTCAACAGGTCAGTTGCTTTCATGATGTTTAACAGGATGAAAATGGCATGCTAAAAATAAAAGTTGAGTAGACCATTGCAGAGGCTGGAACTTGTAAAAGATTTCATCTGGCTTCACTTCTCCATTTGTTGCTGAAGCCATTATGTATTATATTTGTAATTCACCAATTGACAAACAGTTTCACTGACACCATATTCTTAGCTTTCCAGATAAGCCCAACCTGATTAATATCATATTGAGAGTCTAAAGTCTGCTACTGATCAGCTAGAGGTCCCTCCTGTTTTGCAGCATGATCAAGCCTCTCACACTGTCACTATCTTTCAGAAAAGGTTATCGGTTGATCACACAGTGAAACACACCATGCATTAATACACAGAGAACAGCACAAGAAAGAAGAGTGGGAATTGGTGAGGGTTATTTTTGTAAAAGGATTACTAAGCTCCATTCTTACTTGCCCAAAGGCTCAAGAGTGTGGAAAAAAAATAGGCAGGTTTAACCTTCTCATCACAGCATCTTTGAGCTGTATTTCCATGCCACAGCAGTGGATAGACAGGATAGCCAAAATGCAACGTTTTATGACAAGTAATTACTTTGCTATTTTGCAGCAATGAGATCTAAAAACACTGTCTTGTCTCCATGGTGTTAATGGAACAGAAGTTGCTTTCAAGTTGAGTCTTCTCTTAGGGGGTGACTACATGGGCATTTGTCCCACTGCTTGGTCTGCTCTGGGGACAGGCTGGTTTGTTCCTTTTGCCAGCAACCAGGCAACTTAAGTGCCAGTGAGGACCAGTGTGTTCTCCTACCAGCACCTTCCTGTAAGGTGGTAATCTTTTTAAGGTCTAGGTACAATCATTCTATTTTGGTTCGTTTTCGGAATATGTAATTGCTTGGCGCCTTGAATTTCCCTTCTGCTTTAAATTTCCCAATATCATTAAGCAGATTAAGAAGACAACCTAGCCACTTCATGATAGTGGGAAATGAAAAACTTTCTCTGCTCCTCCAGCAGAGGAAGGAAGAAAAAGGGTTTTGTAAGCCTATTAGGACAGTGTTGATGGACTATACCTTTTAGGGGAAAAACTGAAAGCTTCCTACCAGAAGAAGGAGGAGACATGAGGGGGCTTTTTGTTTTGTTTTCTTTGTTTTCTTAAAGGAGGTCAGCCCAACTGAAATGCTTGAGATGAGTATACCATGTGGATCACACAGAAATGCCATACCATATCCTTTCATGACTTAAACAATCCTATTTAGCCCAATTCAGTTTACTCCATTTTCCATGTAGCCAAGCCCTTAGTTTCTAGCAGTCCTGAGACACACTTCCTTTGCACATACTCGGTTCCTGTGATGTGATTGGGCAAGATAACATTCTAAAAACCCAGGCTGCTCCTCCTTTGGATACCGCACGGCCACATACTCACAAGGTAAGATTTCCGCAGCTTCTCCTTTTCATTCCTTCCTGCTAAGCTCCCTTCATCAAATGACATGTAGTTAACTCGGAATTTTCCAGAGAGGTTCCGGTAGAGCCTCTTGGCAGCATTCGGGGAAGACGGTCCTGGCTGCTTCCTCGTCTGTGCCAGCTGCAGATCTTTCATTTGCTGTGTCATGTTAGGCAAGGAAGACCTAACGAGGAGAAAACGGATGATAAGTTAAATAAGTGTCAGTGGAAATTGGGTTGAGCAGTGAGTTGGAAGATCTTCCGTTTGTCCAGGAGTGCTCCTGCCTGAAGGCTTTTGAGCAGCTTTAAAGTTTGTTATGTAGTCGTACCAAAATAATTGGCTTATTATAAGATTTTTTGGAATAATGTACATATCTTCTGTGCTGTTCCTTATATCCAATGGTTCTTGAGACCTGCCTGCCTTGCAGAGACTCTGCTACAATTCACAGAGTATGTCTAGCGTGAAATTTTAAAATGTCCACAGAATCATGACATCTAATCTTTATTATTATTATTTTTAAAAATCATGTTTGAGTTTTCATTGGCAGTGGGGTTTGGTGTTCTTTCCCTATAGCTTTCTGTCCTTCCCCCAGTCCCTTCATTCTTGTCCTATAGAGTTACAGTCAACGTAACCAAAGAAGCCCAGAGTTTATTTAAAACACACAGAAAGAGAAACCTGTGGATAATTAAAATGTCCTACAAATCAAGCAAGAAATGAAAACATTAAAAGCAACACCAGTAGCATCAAGAAAAAACAACTGCCTGTTTAATACTCAATATTAGTTATTGGTTAGTCAGCTATGTGTCATCAAGTTGGAACTGACTTATAGTGAACTTAACAGGGCTATCAAGGTAAGTGAGATATTTAAGGCGTGTTTTTACCAGTTTCCCCCCTGCCCTGTGAATTTCCAAGGGATTCAAAGGCGAAAACCAGCGCACTGTGGTTCAATACAACCAATCCTAAACAGGATGAATATGTACACTTCTCAGTATTTAGTAGGAAAGCAGTAACAATGCTGAGTAGTAACAATGCTAAGAAATGGTACATCCTTTCTATGTGATTTCGGTGTTGTCTTTCGAGGGCCGTTATAATAGCAGTTCTAGAAGGCAAGATGGAATTCTACTGGTTCCTCAGGTCACGTGACCCTGCTGGGCTAAGAGAAGCAGCATGCTCACTGGCCACCTGTAGGGATCTCACCCCACCCGAAACTTATGGAACAGCCACCACCTTTCAAACAGAAAGCTAGCACAGCAGAAAGTGTGCTGGAATAGGACAAGTCTTCCTGGTGTGCTAGATTTTTTTTAAATTGAAGGGCATTCAGAAATAGCATCTCCTATTTAACTGGTGAGCCAACGTCAGTTACAGCAATAGTATTGAGACTGACGAGTGATGTGGCTCAATATACAGCAGTTATGTCTGTCATTTCCACAGCCTCGGGCAAGCAAAGTGCATAGCCTGCCTCTTGCGTAATACTTCTGCAGTCTCGAGCAATGAATAGCTTCAGATCCTTGCAAATGACTTCTGAAACACAGTCCCTGGGCAATGAGTCTATGCAAGTGTTCTAGGTGAGCTCTCCTGTAGCCATTTACAGTTTTTATCCCATATATTATTACTACCTACAAATGATAGTACTTTCCCCAAGGGCATCATTCAGTGAGTTCTGTAGCTATGCATAAATATTTCTCAAACTCCTACATTCTACCCAATACTTTTTATTATGCCTCTCCACTCCCTAGTATTACTTAACAATACCGTACTGAGTTATAACTTCTATTCTGGAACTGTGCCATAATGATGGGAAGCAAAATTACAGCTGCAGGTTTCTTAAGGAAAGGCGGAGCAGCTCCGTGACTACATGAAGCTGAACCCAGCAGCATTTCAGTTTGTAGTTGCACACATCTAATTCTCAACATTTCACTGAGACTGTAAGTCATACTTGTCATTAGAGGATCATCTGCACTCGCCATCTTTCACTGTCAGCAAAAGTCAAGAAGTGAAAAGTGTGCCATTTTGGAAAACATGAAAACAGACACAACCCTGATTCTGCAAAATCAGAGAGGCCAAGCTTATTCCAGAACTCTCCTCATCTCCCTCAGGCTCTTCTGCTTCTATCATTGGCAAACAACCATCACAATACACTCACTATGTACACTAGAATAACAGGTAATTTTCAGAGAGCAGAGGAGGGGAGACTGAGCCACAGACAGGCAGTGCAAGTTCTGAGACAGTAATTAAATGGAGACCACCATGTAAATACTAATTAAGTTAAGCTGTGAACAATTACTTAGATTTGTCTGAATTGCTAAATTAGAAGGACACAAGCCTAGATTGCAAATTGACATGAATTGTGAAAAGAAAAATTAGAATGAAAGAAACGGGCCAAAAATTTGGGAGAAGGGAGCTTTAACTGAATCAACTCTAGGTCGGCAAGCCAGCAGATCCATAGAAGTTTCTAAGGCATGGGGAGGAGGCTGAAAAAGCATTTTTCCACTAAACTGATCAGTCGGTAAGCAGGTTGGACAGAAATGTCTACCAAGCAAGGATCCAATTTTGCCTTCTACAACTGCCAACTGAGTGACCAGACTGGAAACGGCAGTTATAGGGTTCTACAAATGGACGTTGTAGAAGTCAAGACGGAATCCTACCAGTTCTTGGCCTGCCAGGGCAACGGAAACGGAATGCTTTCTGGCTATTTGCTGTGACCTGGCCGGGAATAACTTTTGCTTTCCCTAGTGGCACAAAGGGAAAAGGAGCTGGATCCTTCAGTCCAATATCTCTTGCCTAAGCCTTTGATACCTTGTGACAGTGTAGATTTGGCAGACACTTGAAAAGTTCTTGTTTACAAAAGCTCCAGCCACAATAATGCACCTGGCAAAATCTCTATGGCGCTCTATGCCTTCCTGAGTTAATGTGTGATCCACCATCTATGGAGAAGGAGCAATAAAAATTCTGAGGTGGCAAGCTATTAGTTCAGCCCATTTTGTTGGATTAATAAAGGCATCATCCTAACACAGACTAGGGAGTTTGATTTGCATCTCCTGATGTATTCCCTCTCCCCCAATCGATCTTCAGACACAGAGGTACTGGTGATTTCGTATCAGCCGCCAATCTGTCAGGCTAGCTTGAAATAGATCTGAAATGTAGGTGCTGCATTAGTTTTTTTTGGGGGGGGGCAGGTGTGTAAAACAACAAATCACAACAAAACAACCCCAGTTCAACACACTGCTAAAGAAAGACATGCCAAAGGAGTGCCAACTCCGGCGATTGCGTTTATGAAAACAGCCCTGCAGAAGGTATTAATAGAACCCCTGCCTACCTCACTCAATTACAGTACTACGATTTTTATCTGAGACAATGTGGGCTGGAGAATTACATTAACTATCTTACTCTTTATGAGGGTGTTTTTTTAGAGCTTTGAAACACAGGGAGATTGGCTCCTGCAGGCATTCTGCTGGGAAGGGTTGCGAAGATTAACATGCCTCCATACAAATGAGGGCAATCCAGATTGTCTTGACCTGCAGAAGCTGAACAGTTCCTTAACTGGAGGTGATGCTCAAAGGACCCTATGACACAGCAAGCTTAAACATGTGCAGTAACGCCAGCATGAGCCACGTCTGGGCCTTCAGCTGTTCTTGAACTGCCACATCAGATTATCAGTACTAGCTAGGGTTGACAGGAATTTGAGGTTGAAATCCAGTTGTAGGCTGCAACTGGAGAACACCCATTGAATCAGTGGGGATATGGGAAGTTAACTCCTCTGTAAGTTCTATCAATTCAATGGGCTTATTCTAGTTGCAACTGATTACTAGATTTCAGCCAACTTTCAAAGGCATAAAGCTCCTGAATTAAGCCACCAGATTTTAATCTTTTTTGAGATTCAAACTAAGATTGCCTGCCTGTTATTTTATATTGTCTTCATCACACAGCTGCATGCTCAAGCAACCAAACTCTGCCATTTTTGCACATATTCAGATTCTGGTCGCAATAATGTTGAATTTCTGAATAAAATTAAAATATTCTATTTGCAGTTACATTTACCTATTACTTTTTGATAATGGAATTAACTAGTTTAAAAGTTGCCCTTGGACTGAGATTTGCTGAAGGGCAGTGCACTCTGGTCTTGTCCATCAGCCAACATCCCCTAACTTTCAGGAGGAACATCTCAGCTAAGGGTAGATAAACATGGCTTCACTCATTAGCCACAGAAGGAGCTGCTGCTCAGATTCTTAGTCCTATTCCTTCTTCTTTTGCATTGTGCCAATTAGATGGCGAACCACTGACCACACAACATCAGGAATAATGGCTGCATGCCAGCTAGAGCTTCAAGAGAAGTGTTCAACTAGCCACACAAATGTCTGCATGGATGCATTTCTTCAAATCAGGACATGGCTGAGAACCAGGAATAAATGGTATCTCCTGCTTCTATATAACCCCTTCGTTTGAAATGCATCTTAACTGACGCAAGAGCTTCTTTAAAGCTCAAACTCCAATATAAAGCCTTCTTGAACTATGAAAACAAACTGGAGTCCTGTAATAATAGAAACAGTTTTATTTATTTTTATTTGTTTGATTTATAACCCTGCTTTCCCCCAAACTAAGACCCAAGTCAGTCACAACAAAATTAAAAACAGGTGCAGATAAAACAACTTGATTTGTAATTCGGCAAGCAAATTACAAATGAAAACAAATTTAGATGACCGATCTCTCACTGACATTAGAAGAAGCCAAGAAGTAACTGGAAACACAAATGATCACATATATATAGAAACAGTTTCTTACAAACAACAAAAATAGCTTAAACTGCAGCCAATTTGATTCTGCAGTTATCCTTTAGTCATTCCAGAGTGAAGCTAAAAGACAAGCGCTGAAATCCTGTTGCTTAGCATACTAAGTCACAACTAGAGTAGGCCCCGTAAACCACTGGAACTTACAGAGGAATTGACTCATCAAATCCCCACTGATTCAATGAGACCACTCCAGCTGTGACTTATCAAATCCCCACTGATTCAATGAGGCCACTCCAGCTGTGACTTACTACACTAGGTAATAACATTTCAGCCATTACTTTGGGTTTCTGACCAAGCACCTCGGTGCAAGTCTAATGCTGTAGGATAAATGGTTCCCAACCATTCTTGGACTACAACTCCCAGAAATCCTGACCAGTAGAGCTAATGGTGCAGGCTT